GGACTCTTGTGGTGAGTGTCACAATATTGAAAAATTAGAAAGAATGCTTGTCTAGAGCTCTTCAAATGTTCATTTGAATAACATTTGTGCTTGGAAAAATAATATTACTAGAAACAAGTTAACCAAAAAAGAAAACTTCAAATCTTCAGCTAGATTTCCCATATGGAACATTTTTCCTACACTTAATTTAGACAAAATTTGTATTATTTTCACGAACAAAAATATCAATTTGTAACTTTACAGTACAGAATAATTAAAATAAACAAGTTCCTGGTCTTAACAATACTTGATTTTTTTAATTTGTAAAGAAAATAGTTTTCAAATAATTCTATACAATCAAAGAGAACGAATTTTACAGTCTTTAAAATTGATAATGGAATGTATACTATGTACTTTAGCATAGAAACAAAAGGCAAAACTTTAAATAATTTTCCTTTAGAAAATAAAGTTTATTCTAAGGTAAAAATAGACACTTGTTTTCTTTTTTTCTGATGTAATCATTATACAAAAATATTCTATGTCAATATAGTAACTTTATGGAATAATCATTAAAATAAAAACAGATTGTTAATCTATTTATTGTTTTTTGTTCTTTATTTAATTATTGAAGGATGTAAAGTAGAAATCAAACCCTGGTTTGCTTTTCTACGTCTAATATGAAAAATTATTCTGTCAATTGTCAGTACTATAACTCTATGGAATAAAACGTTTTTATAATAATATTGTTTGCTTGTTTTTCCCTTATTTTTCATAAATTAATATTGAGTCAAGTTCTAATATGAAAATCGAACTCTGTTTTTTTTTTCAATTGTAATTCTATACTTTTAAAAAAAGAAGGCCGACAATTATTCATTTTCAGCAGCTTCGCTTTGACTTATACTACTTGTGGTGACGTCACGTTTAATCGAACACGCCTTTTATCTTGGTGGTTTTGGGAAAATATCTATACAGAAAGGAGATAATTCTTTAAAACTTTGAATTATGTCCCTTGAAACTGAATGAAAAACAATCACGATTACGAAGAAGTAATTGAAAATTATTCTTCAAGTGACGAAAATTTCATAAAAAAGAGACTTTCTTTGGTCAGCCGAAAATGTTTTTTTCATATTTCATACAATATTTCTAAGGTGTCACTGAACTTCAGCCACAAAAATACTTTTTTTTAATAAACATCTAGGACTCCTGTGTCATTTTGCCTTTAGTTGAAACTCTTACTGTTCAAACTTTATTCCCTGCGTCAGGTAGTGGAATCTATATACACTAATTCAGTAAAAACTTACGAGAGGATAATTCTTTCTACGGATGGAAGGAAGTAAAATTATTTAGATTTAAGTGAACAAATTATTTACCTCGTTACTTTTGAGGAAAACTTTCAGCGCTCTATTTTTTTAATTTTTTTTTTTGTACTTAGCTTTCATCTTTACGTTTACGATGCTTTATGGAAAATATATTATAAAGAAATTAAAAAATAAGACTGTTAAGAGTGAGATTAAATTTCATAAGAAAGGTATCTAATTGATTTATAGGTACCTTTATGAAATTTTATCAGAACTGTACATAAAATACTATAATTTTATGTACATTTATTACATTTTACTGTGTTATTTGTATTTCCGTTCATTTTATTATTAATTTTGATATTTCATTTATGGAAAAATGTCATAACTGAGATTAATATAAAAATAAGATCATATAAATTAAAGTTTAGCAACAGTAGTTAAATTTCATAAGATGATACTGATACTTGTAGGTATCCTTCTCAGTTGAAATTGAAAACTCAAATTAACTTCTCCATACGTGTTTCATAAAAGTAAAGGCCTTAAACAGCGGAGAACAATGCTGAACTCAAATAACGCAACTTAATTGCATTCTGGTTGGTCTCCCGTACTTTATAATTACCGCCCGATTATAAACACAAAATTACATTTCTTAATTACTGCGGATCTTCGGATTAGTCAAAATGATCTATCTCATAAGGACACTTAGAAAACCCGATGTGGCTTTTAACTAATTTTATAATATTTTTTTAACAACTTAATGTAAGAATTTATTATAATTAAAGAAATAACAAAATTGTATTAAAAATTCAATTTTCATTGAAAAAATTTTTTGCTTTCAGAAAATATTGTCCATATTCATAAAAACAACTAAAAAGAAATAAAGGCATTTGAAATTAAATAATATCTTTGTTTTATGTTACAATTCAGAGCCGATTTTCAGGTACTGCGGATCCAATTAAAAAAAAAAAGACATGATTTACATTCTTCAAAGCTTTGTACTTTTAACTATTGTAATCACTAAACCCGATGTGAGTTTTTCATAAAATTAGTTATGGGGGTGTTAATAAATATCAAAAAAAATATTTCTGCTATGACTTTAATAAAAAAAAAAAACATATTTATAATAATTTCGATCATCTGTGAATAGTTTCTGAAAGTTTCATTAACATCCGACAATTATTTTTATTTTTGCAAGATTTTCCAAATTAATGTGTGTCATAAAAAAAAAAAAAAACGTGCTAAAAATTGTCTATGTTATTTTACTAGTTCCGGTTGGTACAAAGAGAAACAAGGTTTTTTTTTTAATCAAAATTTAGAATGTTCTAAAAAGAAGGAAAACTTTTAAAAAATAATTAAAAAAAACTTTGGTCTTTCCTCTTCATAATAACATAAGCATTTAGACGATAAAATTTTGTTTTCATAAAGTTTGGCGTCTTTTTCATCAGACTATGCTCTTTTTTAGCGATTTCGTGGAGTTACCTAAGTAAAAAAAATGAACATCACAAAAATATATTACCAAACTGATTGAAAAAAAATATTTATAAATGTATTTATTTAAATTTAGCTTCTTTCTGAATTTTCGATCACAAATTATCATTATGCCGAACAGGTGTCCTTATCCTGATTGTTACAGTAACAATATTTTGACCTCCACTCCAGCTTTTTCGAAATTTTGAATTGAATCGTTCACTTTTGCAGAGTTGATGGTTCTCATCCTGTAGTCATGCCAGGGGAGATAATTCGCATTAGTTAATTCTAAGAGTTACTTTTCCTTTTTGATTGTTCCACGTACTACTATCTTCCTTTGTTCTGCTGATACGGATTCCACTGCCTGATAGAAAAATTGAACTCCTGAAATAAATGGCTGCCATCCAAGGCTTAGGAGCCAAATCTACCCTGCTATTTAAGATATGACTTGGAATGAGGAAACAGGTGAAAAGTTATTTTTGTAGAAATGAATGCAACAGACAAAGCCAGAATTTGAACTTTTTCCACTTTCTGACCTAATAACTGAATACATTACTGAGAATATTATTGAATACAAAAAGGCAACTGAAAAAGGCTACAGGATACAACAGCCGAAATATGATAGCTATAGCAATTTAATAAATCAGTGCATACAAGGAGGTGCTAGAAAGTTCTCCATTATGATCCACTTCCCAAAATTTGAACATATGATCTTCAGAATTTTTGGTGGGTGGAAGGACTTTTCAATATCATTTAAATATGCATTTGATGAAGGGTTTCCAAGTGATCAATCAAAAAAAAAAAAAAAAAAAGACTCGATAAGTGGCGTATTGAATTTTGATTCCAAAACTGACATTTACACAAGAAATAAAATAAAAAAATTAGGGCAAACATGGATAAATGCAGTGTGAAAAAAGGACAGTCTTTCCCTTGGAATTGCTATTATTTTAACGACCTTCACTCTTTGGAAATGTTTAGTGTTTCAAAAACCAATGATTAGAATTGGAATAAAACCTAAACATATGATGAAAGGAAATTTATACATTTCCTTTTTTTTTTGTTCTTGAGAATTTATAACAAAAATATTTATTTATTAGCTTGTTTATTTAGAAGAGTAATTTTATATTTACAACATTCTAAAAACTAATACAATTAAAACTAAATGCAATGCAATATTTATCATTCACCAATTTATAAAGAAATAAATGTGAAAAATATTTTATTCATAAATTTACTAAATTATTAAAATATGTGAACCAACTATAAATGAAATCTTTATTATTTTCCATTTGTTTGAATCAATTGGCAATTAGCCAATAATTTGCCAATCATTCCAATAGATAATAAATGAACTACATGACTATAAAAGATGGTCAAACCTAACTTAATGAACAGTAGTAAAATTATATTGAATAAAGTTTTTTTTAAATTTTTCTGATGACACTGTGATGAAGGCAACCATAGTTGTCTCCCCATCAAACTCCTCAACTATAAAAGAAATGATCGAACGTAAGTTATGAGCAGTAGTTAAATTGTATTGAATAAAGCTTCACAAGCTTAAACATTCATCTGTTTTTCTTTACACCACCCTTAAATAAAACAGAATTATTAATTATTACTAATACTTTTTTGTGAATAAATATTCTGGGGGCTGATGAGGGATCAAAGATTCAACAGTATGCAGCAGAAATACTCCCCACATAATGGTAAGATATTAGCTAAATGAAGACACCATTACCACTAATATCTTACCATTATATGGGAGGTATGTGTGGGAGGTAAATGTGAGCGGTATTTCTGACACTTTGTATGCTTGATTTTATTTAGTGGCATATCAACCTCTATAGGTTATTTAATGATGGAATCTAAATATTTTGAACAGTTGTATGCCAGATAAAATATATTGTTGGTAATTCTACTATAAAATGTATTGCTGGTATTTTTAGTATAAAAATGTATTTTTATAGTTTCATAGTGTTTGCACAGGGTTCACTATCTGCCATAGCTGGGGCCCTAAAAGATTCTACCACCCCTGGTTAGGATGGACTTGGGAACAACAGCAGTTTAAGAGGTGGTCCCACACTCCTGATAAACTCCAATTTCCTGATCAGAGGCCTTGTTTTCAGATGTAGTTTATCATACCCAGGACTATGCACACTGTATGAATGGGTTGATGACTATAAAAAGTTTGGAGACCCGAACATCAGATTGTGAATTTACAATTATAACAAGATATATGAAAATGATATCTACCATTGAAACCATCTTGATTAAGGTCTCCAGCGTTTGCCAAAGATGCGCCAAACCTTGCATGTTCACATTGAAGTGCATGACATTCCTTCTCGTTCATTGTCCGACTGAGGATCTTTATAGGCTTTGTATTTGTGGCCAGCATAAGCTGAAAGAAAAATAAGTTCTCTTTTATTTTAATGTGAACAGAGAGAAAATGTTAGAGACTATCAATTTGCTTTAAGATAAAGTTTAATTCTTTTTTCTTACTAGTTTCACTGAAAGTAAAATAGCAAAATTGAATGAAGCTGTTTTGCTGCATGCAGTGTAGATTTCTTCTCAATTCATTTGAACATCACAAATTTTTTTCCTGTGGCCTTGCAGAATGTTTTTTTTAAGCAAAAGCACTTTTTTCATTTTATTTCATTTTAGAATAAGATAAAAATTTCATAGAATTTTTATATTGACAATAGAATAAAAATATAGAATGTTATAGAAGTTAGAGAAGAACATAGAATAAGACTATAGATTTATAGAATTTTTATAGGAATTTTATAGAATTAAGACAAAAAATTCTATGCTGTGGTCATGCAAAATGTTTCAAATAGATAACTGCTACTTTTAAGTAAAATCGCTTTTTTCTGTTTTATTTCATTTAGAATAAGACAAATTTCATAGGATTTTTATAGAATAAGACTATATAATGTTATAGTAGAATAATATAGAAAAGTATAGAATGTTGTGGAAATTTTATAGAATAAGGCAGAAATTTTGTTTAAATAAAATTGTTGTACTGCCTTAAATTACATTGTTTGGCTTTATATTTTATTCTTCTCTAACAAACCAACAAAAAAGCGACTAAAAGATGAAAACTAACAAAAGAATGAAAAAGAAAACCAACAAAAGAGATTAAAAAAAAGAAAAGAAAATTTCTAATTGTTCTACTCTGCGTAAAAAGAAAAGATAGAAAATGGAATACAAATAAAATTAAAAAAGAAAATAAAAATCCAAAGACAAAATCAAAATGGAGAAAATTGAAATAAAAAAGAAATTTAGTAAAACAAAAACAACAAAAATATGAAAATAGAAAACTAAAAAACAAAAAGCCAAAAAAAAAAAAAAACGAAATGAACAAATTGCCAAGAACAGAAGACAAAAAACAAAAACAACAAAAAAAATGAAAAAACAAATAAAAAAAGATAACTGATAAAAATAATGAAAGGATAAATGAAAAGTCCCTAAAAAGAAAAGTAAGAGAAAAAAAGGAGCTGAGAAAAACAAAGAAAACAAAAGAAAACCAGCAAAAAAGGAAAAGGATAAATGACAAAATGAAAAACTAACAAAAGAAAAAACAATCATGAAAAAGTTAACAGAGAACTAACAAGAAAAAAATAACTGACACAAAAGAAATGGAAAAAAAAAAAAAAAAAGAAAACCAAGAAAAAAAACAACAACAAAAGAACAGATAAAAGAAGAAAAACGGAGAAAAAAACAGATGAAAAAAAGAAAAGAAGAAAAAAAAACAGATGAAAAAAAGAAAAAAAAACAGATGAAAAAAAGAAAAGAAGAAAAAAAAAAAGATGAAAAAAAGAAAAGAAGAAAAAAAGAAAAAAAAGAAAAAAAGAAGAAAAAAAGAAAAGAAGAAAAAACTTAATAATAAAGAGATAAACAAAATGAACTTACAGAATTAGGTTTGCCCATATATATATAAATGGCACCACCAATTTTTGGTTTGAGATAAAATGGAGCACCAACCACCAAATCATCAAAACTGAAAGGAAATAACAAAACCAGTGTATATTTTACAGGATGATTTAAATTTCAATGAGAATCTGATGGAATGGTAAGAAAAAAAAAAGACATTTTGAAAAACTCTTATTCTGACATGTTTTGGCATGACACTGTCAAAGTAAAAATTTTCCAGAGCCTGAAAAATCAAAACAGGACCTGCTTTAACAAAATCCAATTGTGCTCAATGCCTATAATATCAATATCAGTTAATCATCCTCAAATAAAATTTCAGAAAAGTATATTTTATTTTTGAAAGATTTTTTAATAAAGAGAATTATGTTGTGTTGACAGATTTGTAAATATGGTTGATTTTAACGATTTAAAAAGAAATCTTTTCAATCAATTTAATACAGCAATGTATTTTGCTTATTGGAAATGTTAAATTTAATCTATTAGCTTGGAATTAAAACTAAAGTAAAAGCTTCAGGAAAAACTTTTCATTTTTAAAAAGCATTTTAAACTTTAGGTATTGTTATTTTTTTGGATGCACCTACTATAGTAAAAAGAAACCCAAAATGGATAACTGAACCATGACAGTGACATAACAACAACCTGAAATACATATTTCAGCTTATATAAAAAGAAAGGGCACTCACACCATTTTCTTAAATTATGTTTTACAGATAAATTCTCTGTAGAACAACATTAGACCTGTCATCAGTCTGTCAACATATCAAATCAGCTAGTCAGGTTAAAAAAAAAATGCTTTCTGCGATATCCTAAATTAAAGTAAATAATATTTGTTACAAGTCAGATTAATTATACTTTAGATCATCTAATATTCCACAAATGAAGTTTCAGATGAATATATTTTATTTTTTGCAAGATTTTTAAAACAGAGAACTTGTGTTTACAAATGTCTCAAAAATGGATGACTTTGCTGATGTTGCTGAAAAAAAAAAAAGAAAAGAAAAAAAGAGAAAAAGGAAAAAAAGAGAAAAAGGAAAAAGAAAAAGGAAAAAGAGAAAAAGGAAAAAGGAAAAAAGAGAAAAAGGAAAAAAGAAAAAAGGAAAAAAGAAAAAAGGAAAAAAGAGAAAAAGGAAAAAAGAGAAAAAGGAAAAAAGAGAAAAAGGAAAAAAGAGAAAAAGGAAAAAAGAGAAAAAGGAAAAAAGAAGAAAAGAAAAAAGGAAAAGAGGAAAAAAGGAAAAGAGGAAAAAAGAAAAAAACGAAAAATATAATATTTTTCGTTTTTTTCTTTTTTCGATTGCTGTTTGAAATACACCAGAATATTTGGTTTAGTAGAAATAGTATATTTAATCCTTTAGCTTTCGATTAAAGATAAAATGAAAGCTTCAAGTAAATTTAAACCTTAAGTAGCGCGATTTTTGTGGACGTACCTAACTTTACTTTACCTACAATAAAAAGAAACCCGAAATGTATAACTAAAAAACCATGGCAGTGGCGTAACAATAACAACAACTAGAAATACATATTTCCGTTTTATTATTACAGTCCTCCATTGAAGTTCGCTGGTGATTTGTACATAAAATGATCGCAAACCCGGAATCCGCGAATACCTATCCAAAAATCGCTAGCGTTTAAAATTTCCCAAAACAGATGAAGGGGAACCACTCACTATATAAATTCATCTCCAACCTTGTAACTGTGATCGTTGTGATGGTGAATTTTAAAAGACGAGTGTGTACGCGCTGTTAATTATTTTAAAATTGTGTGTGTGTATATATATATATATATATATATATATACACACACACAGATGCGTAAGATTTTATTATTTGTTTTTGTGCTTATTGTTACGCGCGAAATTAACATCTATTCAACAAGTATCTTACTGTTAATGAATTTCGCGATTTTCTCGTGCGTTCTTAAGAGTCAATGAGAGTGGCCTCCCTTTAATCATTAAAAATAATATGGACACCGTAAATATGAGAACCATAAAACAGAGAGAAAATACATCTGCATGTTTCATTGAATGCAATGTACAAAGAATTTTAATTTAGTTTTTCGAATCTCTTCCGTCAATTCACCCCAAATAATGTAGAGTTACCTATCGCAAATATTAATTCACCCCAAGAAATTATAAATTTTAAATCAAAGTTTTTGTTTTTTTTTCATTAAATTTTTGGCAATCTTTTGAAATTTTAAATCAAAATTTGTTTAGCTTGCCTTGCAACGACTCCAACTTTTAAGATGAAAAATTACCAAAAGTCAAGGAGTTATTCACATTTTGCAAGTGTGAATGATATTCGAGTTACGTACAAGGAATTTTTACAATTTAAAAAAAAAAAAGATTAAAATCTGTTTCTGGCTTGTTTGTTGGGGTGAGAACGAACGTAGACCACACACTTAGAAATAGCGCATCAGAGTCGTCCATATTCGGGGCAACCACAAAGGTCAACCCAACCGGAGTGCAATGGAAGAACCTCACTCAATTTGGTGTGAATTTTAGGAAATATAAATTCTTTTTATTTTGGGGTGAATTAACAGAATAGACACAGTTTTTCTCATGTCTTTACAGGTTTTCTTTTTATGTTTTATGTTTTATGTTTTCTTTTCTGGTGCTTAAACCTTTGTGCCTTGCATTCCTGAGCAATTTTAACTTGTGTGTGAGCTCCTGAGTCAAAATTTGCAAATAATTGGTATGTAATGTTTCATGGTAGATATAAAAATAGTGACAAGTGTTTACCCACCGTTCAACTGATGGCTAGGTATTATGTCATTTTTCTCTACCACTGGCAGGGCTGAAAGGGTTAAGAGAGTGTAGGTAAAAGTTGTCCATAATTATTATTGTCCTAAATGCTAGGAAAACTGAATTAAAAAAATTTAAAAAAATTCATAAAATTTTAATTATGTCACATTCAATGAAACATGGATAAAAGAAAGATTGCTGTTGAAATATACATAACCTAAACATACTCCTAATCTTATCCAGCATATATAAATCACCACCTCACCAAGGGAACATGACTTGCAATATCCACCCCCACCATGCCAAGTCATCACTGATAGCATTAACACAACAGCACTCACACAATATTCAAACCACCAGCTTTGACTTGTGACTGTTCAAATCTTATATATTTACTTTTCTGCCATAAATGCAAAAAAGGAAATTATGTTGGAGAAACAGGCACAGAATTCCATCTTTGGTTGAATAACCATCAAAGACAATAATAAAAATTTCTGTTATATCCCAGGTTATTGGAATGAACAAAATGAATGAAAATAAAAGACAAGTGTGTTTTAGCACATAATAAAATAACTCTCATTCATTTACTGCTTAATAACAAGGATTAGGTTGGATTTAAACAATGAATTCCCACGTGCATGTCAGCTTGTCACCATGTTGAATTCAGGAGTGACTGGTCCTACTAGTGGACAAGGGAAGTAACTCAACTGTATTTTGAATTATTGTCCTTTATAGGGGGAGTAAGTTAGCATTCACCGAACACTTTCATTCTAACCTGAGGAAGTCAAAGAGAGCAGACACTCTCAGCAAAACGTGTCCCTAATAAATTTTCCACTTTGTCTCATCTTTACTGTTGAGATGCGTACATTTGTTTCAATTTTCATTACACTGAAACTTTGCCTTGATTTTAGTCCTATCCTATATGGAAATCTTAATTCAATTTTTCAAGTATTGATACAGCATGACTTTCTTTTCGTTTATGGAAAAAACAGCAAGTCAAGCTGCCTGGAAATTTTCTGATAGCTCACTCCAGATTGATCAGTCTCAATTTACTTTATTTTTTATGTCATCTTTGTTATGATTTCATAAAAAAAGAAAAGAAAAAAAAGAAAAAAAGAAGAAAAAAAAGAAGAAAAAAAAAAAAAAAAAAAAAAAAAAAAAAAAGAAAAATGGAACAAAAAAGAAAAATGGAACAAAAAAGAAAAATGGAACAAAAAAGAAAAAAAAATGGAACAAAAAAGAAAAGCAAAAAAATGAGACTCACCCATCATTGTTCAGATCAACTGCTGCAACACTGTAGCCAAAAGAAGATCCGAACTGATCTCCGGAGAATACTCGATTGGGATAAAACTCCAGGTCACTCGTGTTTGGTTTCCTGTGACCAATAAGAAGCACCTGCCCAGTCTCATTAGACCGTGGGGCCCCAGTTGCATAATAATGACCAGATTTATCAAAACGACCAGAAGTAATTGAATAGCCTATTGAGATACATTGGGAGTAAAAAAAAATAAAAAAATAAAAAAAAAAATAAAAAAAATAAAATATTGTTGAAATATTAAAAATATTTAAATTTTATTAAATATATTTAAAAAAATTTTCCCAAATTTATTAAAATATAAAATTAAATATAAATAATTTTTTTTTAATCATTTCACTCCAATCAAGGTAATAAAGTCATTAAGATGCAAGGGTAACTGAGTGTGAAAGAAAAAGAAAAATATTATAGAAAGAGAACAATAAAAGAAAAGGACTTAAGACAGAAAATAATGATTGACATTGCATTTAAAATTTTTGAAGATCAAAATTGAGTTGAAAAGCAAGAAATCAAAAGAGTTCCACAAGCAAGAAGTGCAAGAGAAGAAACAGTCAGCATAGAACTTATGGTTAAATTTCAACTGTAAAATGATGTGACTTAGCTGCCAATCTGGTACTGTATTTAAATTTATCAAGTCAAGGTACCAAGAAGAAAGCTCATTCAAACAATTACTATGAAAGTATTTATAGACAAGGCACAGGGAAGGTATGTTACAACAGTTGAAAAGTGACTGAAGCCAAGATGCCAAGTTAGGACCAATAACATTGCAGATTCTTTGTATTTTATCTAGAATCTATAAATATGTAATTCATCAAAACAAATGTCACAGCAATATTTAATTGGCAAAGTTTAACTTAAAATCAGGTAAGAAAAAAAAAGTTAAAAAGGACAGTTTCTTTTCTCTTAATGGTACTATTGCTGATAATATGGAGTGGGGGCTGAAAAGTTATCAGCTCAACAAAGAAGCCATTCCCTGGTAGGGGTAAGTTCAACCAAGATCTTTCTGGCATCTCTTCATATGAATTATGTGATACAAAAATGAACAGACAGAAAAATAAAAAAAATAAAAAAATTATATATATATATATATATATATATATATATATATATAAATAAACTTAGTGAGCCAGACAAACCTAGGTTTATCTAGGTCTGCTCTATGGTTGTATTGAGCTCTTTTGTTAGTTGTTTACTCGTATCGGGGTTTTTTTCTTTGGGCTTTAAACCTGTATCTGTGCAATTTTTTTTCAACAGACTTTCATGTTTCTAGCTCTTTCTTTTTTTAAAACCTTTTTTCCCCTCAAAGTTGATTTGATTATTGGCAAATCAAAAATTCAAGGGTTTTCTGAAACGAGTATAGTTATATATATATATATATATATATATATATATATATATATATATATATATATATATATATCCTGTTTACCTTTTTTTTTCAGACCTCAAATCCTAGAAAAGAACACACATGATCATAGCTCTCCATAACTTCCGTTTTTAATATGTGTGAATTGCTATGATTTTGGGGGATATAAATGGCTTCAAGTAAATGAGGCTTACAGGTATATAATATTGAAACACCAATTCTCATATGATCACTGAAGTTAAGCAACATCGAGATTGGTCAGTATCTAGATGAGTGACCGCTTGGAAATATCAGGTACTGTAAGCTTGGATGTGTGGATGGTGTAATGGATAACAGCGTGCAATTGGAAATCAAAGAGTCAAGTTCCAATTCTAGTCAGCTCTATTATATTCACTATTGGAAAGGTATGAAGCTATCACTTCTCCCTCCAGCTATGGGTTAATTAGTAGGACTTGTATTAGTAAATCATCTCCAAAATTTCTATCTGAAAATATTTTCTGGTTTTAATAACCTGCAAAAGGCTGATAATCAATAAAAAACCAATCAATCAAGGGAATGAATCATTTAGGTTTGAAGAAAGAAAATCCTTTAAACTTTATATAAACTTCCATTACAGAATAAAAAAAAAAATGGTAATATTAGGCGTTTCCTTATAAGGAAACATTTCGCATTCATTGAGCAGCCAGTGCAACTTTCAGTTGAAATTTATAAAATTTTTCTATTAAAACAATTTTCAAGAAAATAGGTTTCACAGGTCCACTAACTGTATCTGTGTAAGTCACAAAAATCTCCTGAGCTGACCAAGTATAGAAATGAATACAATATGGGAGCCAATAATGAGTGCCAGAGAAAAGTGATAATAACAACAAAAATTGCAATATGAGCTCTGGTAAAAACATGAAAATGATAACAGCAAAAAATTGCAATATGAGAACTGGTAAAAAATGGTTGCTGATGACATTAGGTTTATAATACCCAGAAATTCATACACAGATGTCCTCAAGGACACATGGCACAGTGGATAAAGGTGTTAGTTAGATCCAGTGATAGGACCCAAATACCCGGTTAAGGCAGTGGAGAACTTGGGGTGAATAACTGACATTAAACATGGCATGTGGAACTAGAACAGTCTACCCCAGCGAGTGAAATAAAGGGTTCAGTTTGACATTCCAACCACCTGAAGAAGGCATTGTAATAAATATGGCGACAAAGATGAGGACAATAGTACAAATAATGTAAATAGTGTCCAGTAGCTGTTATTGCTCTTTCCAGTATTGATGCGGGGGGGGGGGTTCCCTTCGTAATGTGGAGCACCAACATTTTGATTATAACATTATTTACTGTTCAAGTTCCATGCACTACCAATTTTAGTTGTTGAAAATCCTCAAGTGATGTAGTTTCTGTTACTTGGTATAGTTTTTTGTTTGTGATGATTCACTATATACACAAATATCTTTGGGAAAGGTATGAATCCACCCTGTCTCCCTCCAGCTATGGGTTAATTAGTAGGACTTTTATTAGTAAATCATCTCCAAAAAATTCTATCTGAAAATATTTTCTGGCTTTAAATAACCTGCAAAAGGTTGATAATCCATAAAAACAACAATCAATCAACGGAATGAATCATTCAGGTTTTTCAGGAAAACAGATTTTTTTCAAGTCCAGTAGCTGTTATTGCTCTTTCCAGTATTGAGGGAAGGTTTCCTTCCTAATCTTTTGCTTGGGGTAATGTGGAGAACCAACATTTTGATTATAACATTATTTTTTGTTCAAGTTCCATGTGCTACCAATTTTAGTTGTTGAAAATCCTCAAGTGATGAAGTTTCTGTTACTTGGTACAGTACTTGTTTGTGATTGTGTAGCGCCAGTTCACAAGGTTCAAAGACAGATGGTCCTTAGTTAAGATCTACATGCTTTACTCACTCAAAGTCATTTTTAAACATTGACTTGAGGAAGTGGTTGTGTACAACTGACAGTTTTGATATTTCTGAATGAATTTGGTGCTATGCACAACATTCATATGTAAGCCTTGATCTGATGAAGCTATTTGAGAAACACAGTACTAGATTAGCAACAAGGTCACATCAATTTACAGTTGAATTGGATAGATGCAATCATAAGTTCTATGTTAACAGTTTCTTTTCTCGCACTTCTCACTTGTGGAACTCTCTTCCAGATCTAATCTTTCCAACCAACTTTGATCTTCAAAAATTTAAATGCAATGTCAATCGTTATCTTCTGTCTTTTTAAATTCTTGTTCTTTGTTCTTTTATTGTTCTCTCTTCTTAATAATGTTTTGCTTCTTTCTTATTCTTTCACGTTCAGTAAACCCCTTGTGTCTTAGTGGCTTTATTGCCTTGCTTGGGGTGAAATGATGAAAAAAAAATGCCATGAAAATGCATTTTTATTTAAAAATTTATAATTACAATTACCTGTTATATTGAGTTCTTTTGATCAGATATTTTTATAAATTTATGAATAAATACAAGTTATTTCTTTATAATATGGTATTCCAGTTCAGATTGAGGAATTGGAGAACTGAGTTCAAATTCCAGTCTAGTTCATTACATTCACTAACGTGTTAATACTCTTGGGAAAGGTATGAATCCATCTCTTAAAATTTGTCATGTCCCTGATACAGAGGATAAACTTACAATTTATTCATTTAAATATCAACTTATAATAGACAATTCTTTATATTGCAGAACTTAATGCAATCATCATCAAATCACTTACCAACGTAGGAATTTGCTTTGATTTGCCTTCCAATATTTTTAGATTCTTTTACTGTTGTGTCAAGGGCATCAAAATATTCCAGTTTGGAATAAATTGTTCCTGCAAAAGGCAAAAAGAAAATTCAGACTCTTATTTAAAGATCTTCTCAGCAGTACAGAATTTTATTAAGGCAATAAAAATGGACATAACTAAAAAGTCAAGTATAGAAAAATGGCGATTACTGTAGCTGGTAAGAAAAACAGAAAAACACAGAGGCAAGATAAAAAAAGAAAGAGAAGCTAAAAAAGAGAGAAAAAAAAAAGAGAAGCTAAAAAAGAGAGAAAAAAGAAAGAGAAGCTAAAAAAGAGAGAAAAAAGAAAGAGAAGCTAAAAAAGAGAGAAAAAAGAAAGAGAAGCTAAAAAAGAGAGAAAAAAGAAAGAGAAGCTAAAAAAAGAGAAAAAAAAAGAGAAGCTAAAAAAGAGAAAAAAAAAAAGAGAAGCTAAAAAAGAGAAAAAAAGAGAAGCTAAAAAGAGAGAAAAAGAGAAGCTAAAAAGAGAGAAAAAAAAGAAGCTAAAAAAAAGAGAAAAAAAAGAGAAGCTAAAAAAGAGAAAAAAAAAGAAGAGAAAAAAAAGAGAAAAAAAAGAAGCTAAAAAGAGAGAAAAAAAAAGAAGCTAAAAAAAAAAAAAGAGAAAAAAAGAGAGAAAAAAGAGAAGCTAAAAAAGAGAAAAAAAAAGAGAAGCTAAAAAAAGAAAAAAAAAGAGAAGCTAAAAAGAGAAAAAAAAGAAGCTAAAAAAAAAAAAAGAAAGAGAAGCTAAAAAAAAGAAAAAAAAAAAAAAAAGAGAAAAAAAGAGAAGCTAAAAAAGAGAAAAAAAAAAGAGAAGCTAAAAGACAAAAAGGATGATAAAAAAGAAAAAAGGAAAGATAAAATAAAGAAAAGAAAGGGAAGATAAAATAGTTAAAGAAGATAAAAAGACAAAAGAAAGGAGAAATAAAAAAGAGAAAAGAAAGGGAAGCTAAAAAAGAAAAAAGGAAAGATAAAAAAGAAAAAAGGAAAGATAAAAACAGAAAAGAAAGAAATAAAAAAGAGAAAAGAAAGAAGAAATAAAAAAGAGAAAAGAAAGGAGAAATAAAAAAGAAAAACAAAGGGAAGCGTAAAAAAGGAAAAAAGGGAAGCTAAAAAAGAAAAAAAAGGGAAGCTAAAAAAGAAAAAGGAAGCTAAAAAAGAAAAAGGAAAGATAAAAAGAGAAAAGGAAAGATAAAAAGAAAAAAAAAAAGAAATAAAAAAGAGAAAAGAAAGGAGAAATAAAAAGAAAAAAAAAAGGAGAAATAAAAAAGAAAAACAAAGGGAAGCAAAAAAAAGAATAACAAAGGGTAGCTAAAAAAAACAAAAACAAAGAGAAGCTAAAAAAGAAAAAGGAAGATAAAAAAGAAAAAAGGAAAGATAATATAAAGAAAAGAAAGGGAAGATAAAATAGATAAAGAAGATAAAAACAGAAAAGAAAGAAATAAAAAAGGAAAAGAAAGGAGAAATAAAAAAGAGAAAAGAAAGGAGAAATAAAATAGAGAAAAGAAAGGAGAAATAAAATAGAGAAAAGAAAGGAGAAATAAAAAAGAAAAACAAAGGGAAGCTAAAAGAGAAAAAGGATAAAAGAGAAAAAAGGAAGATAAAAAAAAAAAAAGGAAAGATAAAATAAAGAAAAGAAAGGGAAGATAAAATAGATAAAGAAGATAAAAACAGAAAAGAAAGAAATAAAAAAAGAAAAGAAAGGAGAAATAAAAAAGAGAAAAGAAAGGAGAAATAAAAAAGAAAAACAAAGGGAAGCTAAAAAAAGAATAAAAAGGAAGCTAAAAAAACAAAAAAAAAGAGAAGCTAAAAAAAAAAAGGAAGATAAAAAAAAAAAGGAAAGATAAAATAAAGAAAAGAAAGGGAAGATAAAATAGATAAAGAAGATAAAAACAGAAAAGAAAGAAATAAAAAAAGAAAAGAAAGGAGAAATAAAAAAAGAAAAGAAAGGAGAAATAAAATAGAGAAAAGAAAGGAGAAATAAAATAGAAAAAAAAAGAAATGAAAAAAAAAAAAAGGGAAAAGAAAAAAGGATAAAAGAAAAAGAAAAAAGAAAAAAGGAAAGATAAAAAAAGAAAGAAAGGGAAGATAAAATAGATAAAAAAGAAAAAAAAGAAAAGAAAAAAAAAAAAAAAAAAAGGAAAAATAAAAAGAAAAAGAAAAAGAAATAAAAAAAAAGAAAAAAAAAAAGCTAAAAGAAAAAAAGGATAAAAGAGAAAAAGGAAGATAAAAAAAAAAAAAAAATGAAAGATAAAATAAAGAAAAAAAGGGAAGATAAAATAGATAAAAAGATAAAAACAGAAAAAAAATAAAAAAAAAAAAAAAAAAGGAAATAAAAAAAGAAAAAAAAAGAAAAAAAAAGAGAAAAGGGAAAAAAAAAAAAAAAAGGAAAATAAAAAGAGAAAAGAAAGGGAAGCTAAAAGAGAAAAAGAATAAAAAGAAAAAAGGAAGATAAAAAAGAAAAAAGGAAAGATAAAATAAAGAAAAGAAAGGGAAGATAAAATAGATAAAGAAGATAAAAACAGAAAAGAAAGGAGAAATAAAAGAGAGAAGTAGAAAGGAAAGATAAAAAAAAGGAATAAGTTAACCAGATTCACTTGTCATTCATCAGAACTTGATCAGGGTAGATAATTAAAATTATTTTGCCTAAATAATAATAATGCATGCAAGAATGTGCACATTTTTAAAAGAAATAAATTATGTCATTAAAATATGACTCCCCCCTTGTAGAGTAATTGGTCATGGTTAAATGTAATTGGCAGAAACGCCAAGAAGCACAATTGACAAAATTTGCAATAAGCAGTAACAAAAGAAAGAAAAAAAAAAAGCAGTGGGGTTATATCTTAAAATCTTTTCATGTAACAGCTTACCTCTCCAATTCATGGCACCTGGGGCTCCAACGGCATAGGTATAACCCTAAAAAATATGAAAATTCAGATTAAAATCTGGATAATCATAATTTATATTTTCACAGGGTTACAAACTTTTATTTAAAAAAATAAAATTAGTAATACCAAAATATAACAAAAAAAACAGCTAAATCGGTTTTTCAGCCCTCTTTCATCAGAAAAAAAAATAAGAACAAAAAACTGTGCACAATGATTTAAAAAATAATACAGTCTCTAATGTTATATGCAAAAGAAAAAAAAAACATTAAAGACTAATTACTTTTAAGCCCACCAACCACTTCTTTTGCTGATAAAGACATGGCTGGTAGAACTTAATATACAATGATTTGAAAACTTCCAAGTTTATTTATTTTTACTATATACAAATATTCACTGTTTCTTATTTTGTAAGTATACACTTACTTATTGTTCCTATTTTCTTTAAGGCTTCCTTCTTGCTCATATGTTCTGTCTATAGTATTCTCAGCATTGGTTAGTAAGATTACTTTAGGTGTCTTGTTCATCTGTTTCCTTGGTTTCTTTTGCCTTTTGTATGACCTGTGAGTGTTAGATTTTCTAAATTCTCTTTCCTCAAAAGAGAATTTCTAGAACACATTAATAATACACATGCACATATATTTATATTAAACTTAAGTAGCAGTCCAAACTTTGTCTCCTTATGAGTTGTAACACTGAGAAGCGTATTTGCTCATTTTTCTAGGTCTTCAATTTAAACATGAACACTATAAATTAATGCTTAGGGACGTGTCCATCTTTTGGTCTTTTCTTTTTAGTTTATGTTTGCTTTCCCATTTTCTTCTATCAGTTTTTCTCTTGGTTTCTTTTTTATTGGAACTGATTTGTTGGTTTTTCTTTTTATTAGGTTTTTCTTTAGTCATCTGGTTGGCTTTGTGTTGATTTTACCAATACTTTGTGGTTTTTGTAGTCATATATACATATATATATATATATATATATAATAATGGACTCTCCCGTCAGTTTCGACGTATGAGGATCTGACAGCTTATTGATTCAGTTATGAAATTTTGTGCGATAATCTTAAGTGTCATTTAAGACCCACTAGTGATTTACAAAGGAGGCCACATATGGAGCAAGTGTGAGGATTGTGAGATGAGATCACTGTTAGATTGGCTGACCTTTTAGATCTTGCTCTCGCTTCTTGAAGATGATTCAGACAAGCAGATTGAAAATTGCTGAGTCCACTAAAACACGTTGATCTCCATTCTACCTGCTCCACGGCTAAGTGCTCAAGGGTGTTATGTGGTATATTATATATTACCACATATATATATCCAAATAAGTTTTATTAAATTCATTTGATGTGTTCTGCCTATTTCATTTTCGTATTGTATTTTTCCAATTTCCAAGTAAAACATTACATATCAGGATTGAAACTGTGGATAAACTGCTCACAGTTTATGTTTGTTCTGTTTTTATTTTTGTTCAAGTACTTTGACCATCTCAGTCATTATCAAGAATCATGTGCTGTCACTGTGGTAGTCAATCTTTCAAATTTTCAGCTCAGGTTGTAGCCAACAGAATCTTGTCTACCACACTTTATTATTTACAGATAATAGAGTAAAAGGAACATATGGAGAATCATAATCATCAAGATCCTCAAGGGACATGGCATTAATAAATTTAGTGTAATTCAGCCGCAATTGTTCATGTAAATATGTTTTATTGAGAAGTATAGACATTTTATGTGTATTATATTTGATCATCTTTTTTTTTTTAAATTTGTCGGAAACTGCAAATATATATATAATAATAATAATAATAATAATAATAATCACATTTTGCATAAATTTCTCTCCATGCAATGTCCACAATTATATTTTTTCCTCTCTGATTGCATGGAATCTCATCTGCTTACATCTTTGATAAAAAATAGCATATCTGTTAAAGTCTCTGGTTGAGACTTGAGGACAACTCATACTACACAAAACAAAGGCAAAACATTAATTATAATAATAATGTGGAAAATGTAGAACAACCTAACAATTTTGATATTTGATAAGTACAACGCAATTATAAAATTACTTAAATATGGCCATCCTTTTGATGATGGTATGTATGAGACTGGCTAAGCTTAAAAATCTATGTTCTACTCCAAAAAAAGATATAAATAAAGCCATTATTTACTTAGGCTGTCATTAAAAGGAGAGGTTGAAGTATTTGTAAATTTAAATGAAAAAAAATAATAATAGTAGTAGTAATATTATTATTATTAAAAAAAAAACAATATGCATCATGGGAAAATTAATTTATTTTTATTTTTTTATATTCTTTACTATTAATTTATTTATTGGTTTTATTTATTTTTCCCACACATATGCCTGCTATACCCTTATCTGACTGGGTGTCATGATGGATATACTGGGCTTTGTATATTTCTACCCCTCCTTCATCACTTTGTTAGCACTCTCTCTCTCTTTCTCTCTTTCTTTCTCTCTCTCCATAATAATCAACTAAATAAATGTTTTAAGATCTACCTTTCTTTAAGACTACTTACATTTTTTTGATGTGGATCAAACATGGCACTAATTCCTGCCTGGTTGGCCCCATAAATTGTATGATCTCCTCTCACATTGGCCACAAATTTATAAAAACCATCCAAACCATTATCCAGTATATAACAGATTCCATTGAAATGAGTGTTTGCCCAATATCGATGGGCACATGTCTGCAATAAATAGAAAATAAAAAAAATAATAGATGCACACACACACAAAAAAAAGACTTTGATAATGAAGAGTTTAACGAGGGAGATAACTTGATATTATAATAAAATTGCAATCACTGATAACAAAAATGAGTTAGCAAATCTGGTTTTTAATTATAATACCCTGACATTGTAGTGTGGTCTGATTCAAAGGAGTGTGTTCTAATAAAATTAATGGTTACATAAGAGGAGAACCAGGAGGAGGTGAAAGAAAATCCACTAAGAATTACTGCAATCTGACTGCATGGAAAAGAGGTGGACATATCATGTGCTACTTATTGAGGTTGCATGTCATGGACAGTCAATAGTTTCCTTCCTTTTGAAGGTGGGCATCACTGGCCGGAGCCTGAAGTGTGCTTTACATCATCTCCAGACCACAGCTCAATAGGCATTGAGTTGGATCTAGTCAAGATCCAAAATAAACAAAGTTAATTAAAACCATGCTCACTATGATACTTCAAATGTGAAACTGATCTGTTTACCTTCCATTCTACGCCATTGAAAACAGTTGCTGGTGGTGCCAGTACTGCTTTGGCCACTTACCTCCCCTGGCTGACAAGAGCAGGGTATCACACATGCTTTTCCCATGTTGTATGTAGATAATTGAACCATATTCTCAAGGAGAAATTAATAGATTCCAGCTATAAAAATTATTAAATAAACCTCTATTTCAATAATGGGTGGCACTGAGACCAGAAAAAATTTTTTTATATCACTATAGATTAACCACTTGTTGTAGAGTAGCTAGCACCCCTTCAGCACTCTAACACATGGCCTGGCTCATAGCCTTAAATAATCTATAATTAAGGACTTCAACAATTGATACTAAGCTGATTGATATTCGGACTGATCTTACTTTGTTTGGATATACAGCATTTGACCCTCTTCTATTCCTTGTAAGTTGTCTTGTTAATTGTTTTGTAACTTATTGTTCTGTGTTTTTTGCATGTATCTGTTAGCACCGGATACTGGTGCTGAATAAATACATTAAGCACTCATTCTTCTCTGTGTATCATTCACCTCGATGATACAACAATACTTCAGATAACGGCTATAAAAGTTAATAGTTGGGTCCAGTTTATTGCGTAAATTCCCTGTAAGTGGCTCGCCCTATGGAACCCAAAATAAATATGCTTATATGATGTGTTTTCTAGAAACATAGGCTTAAGCCATATCCCATTAAAACACCAATTCTCATATGATCACCGAAGTTAAGCAATTTTGAACCTGGCCTGTAACTAGATGAGTGACCACTTGGGAATACTAGGCACTGTAAGCTTAGGTATACAGGTGGTGTAATTGATAATGGTTTGAAATTGGAAATCAGAGAGCCGAGTTTCAATTCCATTTGTTATATTCACTTACGTGCAAATACCCTTATGAAAACTATGAAACTACCTCTTCTCCTACCCCAGCTATGGGTTAAAATAGTAGGAGTTGTATCAGTAAATCATTATTTTCTCCAAAGAAATTTTTACAATCTAAAAAATATTTTCTGGCTTTAAATAGCCTGCAAAAGGTTGATAAGTTGTAAAAAACATCAATCAATATTTCGGGTCATGGTGCCTATTGTAAAATTCTAGCAAATAATTCAATTTTTATAAATTTTTTTAAATTTAATTTTTATAAATATTTATAATTTAATTTTTTAAAAAAATTTTTGCAATTTAATTTTTAAAAATTACAAAAAAAAAAGTCATTATTTTTCATCACAATACATATTGTAAAATTCTATCAAATAATACAATGTAAGTCACTTTACATTTGATCTTCTGGCATATGCATATAGGTAAAATATATATAAATTCTTTTGATACATAAACTTCAGTTATAACCAAGAAAATATGAAACCATTTTTTATTTATTTATTTATTATTATTGAGCAGCTGGAATGACAGATATTAAAAGAGCTTCAGTCATATACAACTGTGTACAAAAAGAGAGGTAGTAAAGATGGTAGAGAAGAATTTAGATCTTAAGTCAAATAATATATATATATATATATATATATATATATCCCAAACCTCATTACCAAAACTTCTCCCCCAACACAACTGTATCCCCTTAATAACAACCAAGATAATAAGTTCACATCAAAGCATTAGAATCTTATATTTTTCTCTGTTTTATATATTGTTCAGTTGTTGAGCTTTTCCATGTCTGTTGTAGAAAAATTAATCCTATGGAACCATATGAGTCTAAAGCACAGTATTAGAAATGATTTAAACTATTTCATTGGATTAGTAATGATAATATTACCCATTTCCTTATATGGAAATATTTGGCATTCATTGACCCAACAACCAGTGTTCCTTTTGGATGAAATTTATAAAGTCTTTCCATTAAAACAATTTTCAAGAAAATAGGTTTCTCAATAAAAAAAAAAAAAAAATAAAAGAGACAAAAGATGACAATTGATGTTAAACATTTGAAGATCGTAATTGACAGGAAAGCAAGAAGTTGGAAAATAAAGAACAACAATTGGGTCAACAAAATCTAAGCTTCTCATATACTGGTAAGATTTTGCTTTTTATCATTGCCTACTGAATTGGCTTTTGTTGCTTTTCTATATTAACAGTTTAAAAATAATAAATGATTAATCACTGATGCATGACATTTATTACATTTTTCAACACTATGTTGTGTTATCAGGAAAAAGGCATTGTCAGTGGTCAGGAATTAATGCAAGCAGATGAATTTTTAATGTTTTTACTATAGAATTACATTGAAAATCAAACTATGGATTGGTAGTAGTCAGGAATTAACACAAGCATTACAGCTAGAATAGTGCTATTATATGTATAATGTATATGAATTTCTAATAAGTTTCACTATAGAAATACATTGAAAATCATGAATAAAGAAGGGATTGTCAGTGGTCAGGAATTAATGCAAGCATTGGTAGTTCTTCTGAGAAACCTAAACGTTTACATTGACTGACAAACACTCATGGGTTGAGACTAAAATGAAAATAAGAATACTTACAATAACATGAGAATCTATTCCATTTTTTTCAGTCTGAAGTGTCACGCCAAGCCACTGGTTTTTGCTTGGTGTTTCTTCTGTTCAAAAAGAAATAAATGAAATTAAAATTAAAAATAGACCAAAAAATACATTATTTTTAAATCATCATTAATCGTCATCTCATTTCATAATAAAGAAGCAATCTTCAAAAATTGCTTAAAGGAATTGGAAGGAGGAAATCTGTAATTGTTGTGGGAAAGAAACCAACTTTTAAAAATCATGGAGGAATAAATCAATTTTACAAAATAGTGAAGAAATTTGTAAAAATCATGGAGGAATAAATCAATTTTACAAAATAGTGAAGAAATTTGTAAAAATCATGGAGGAATAAATCAATTTTACAAAATAGTGAAGAAATTTGTAAAAATCATGGAGGAATAAATCAATTTTACAAAATAGTGAAGAAATTTGTAAAAATCATGGAGGAATAAATCATTGTTTTGGAGGAAGTCATTTTTAAAAGTTTTGAGGAAGGATTGATTGATTGATTGGTTGGTTGGTTGTTTTTTTTATGGATTATCAACCCTTTTTTGGTTATTTAAAGCTGAAACATATTTTTGGATAGTAAGAAAAATACACTGCCTCTCAAGTGAAAATCATATTCACAATTTTTTGAGAAAAACAATGATTTTTTTTCCAGATAGTTCTGCTATTTATATTATAGATGGTGAGGATGGATTCAAACCTATCCAAGATGTATTTGCACACAAGTGATTGTGGAAATATAACTCGGCTCTATGAGAGAGGAAATGATTTTTTTTTAAATTATGAGGTAAGAAATTGTTTTTAAACTTGAGAGTGAAATCACTACTTAAATAACTTAGAAAAGAATAAATAATAATTTAAAATAAAATTTAATGAACAATTCCTTTAAATTAATTGAAGTTAGTGTATAAATTTAAAGTATTGTACATATTTTTTTTAAAATACAAATCAGAACATTACAGTACCAAAGTATTTCTAAGCTCAAACCGAAAATAGCTGATCAGTCAAAATATATATTAAAATATATCATTTTTGCTATTGATTTGCATGGAAGATATGATATACAAGTAAATAATTTATTTCTAGATCAATCAGTTAAGTACCATACATAATACATGCTTGGGTGATCATGTCTCTTTTGATTCATGACTGACTAGGCAGAAGATTTTCCCGCAGTAGACGCCATTTCTTTCTATGGTAGACTGGTTGCCAACCAAATCTACAGAACCTAGTCTGTCTTGCTATTTAACCCATAGCTGGTGGGGAGAACAGATCTACTCATACCTTAACTAAGGATATTTGCATGTAAGTGAATATAACAAATTTGGCAGGAATTTGTACTTTTAGACAGATAGATGTGGTATATATGGCAATGGTGGTATTTGAAGGCCTCTAGTACCAATATTGGTTCAGCAGAAAGACTATTCAAGCAAAGCTATTATAACCATAAGATATGAATGGAAATGTGTAAATATACAAATAGCACAACCCTATCAAATTATGTATGGGACACAAAAGATAAAAAGAAGAAAAAAATTAAGAGAGAAAAAACAAATCATGCCTGAAATTACCTGGAAAGGTTGTATTAACAATTTTTGGAGAATAACAATGATTTTTTCCAGATACAACTCCTATGATTTAATCCATAGCTGGAGGGGTAGATCGATTCATACCTTTTCCAAGGGTATTTATTTGAGCATAAGTCCCTGACTATGAATATCAGGAAAAGAATATTCTTTTTAAGTTTTATAAAATTTAATAGGGGGTCCAGTTTGCTATGTGATTTCATTGTTAACTGATCTGCTTATGACGGTCAAAACAATATTTGCATCTACAATGTGATTTCTTGAAATGTAAAAATATAATTTCTTTTAAAAAAAATCATGCTTAATTGATAGTAGCATATGAAAGAAAGATTGCAGATTATAAGTTTAAAATTTCTTTTTTTTAAAAAAAAAAAAAAAAAAATCATATTGTATGATCATATTTTGCTTTGGCTGTCTTTGGAGAATTAATTTACAATAAATTTACATAGCAAAATGTAAATTAACTTTTATAAAATGTAATTAAAAAAAATTTTTGATATCAATGGTCTGGAGTTCTAAAGTAATATGGAAAAAAAAAAAAAAATTATCATTTCTGGTTGTAGTGTCTATTGCAGCATTTTTTCAACTTTTTTTTACGCTTGTGTAACCCTTAAAATAAATTACAGGTCTCAAGGAACCCCTGTGCAAAAACAAAATTATGTACCATATCTTTCTCATTTTATTTTCATTGTAGTTCACATGGTAAATATAGTATATACTAGCAGTAGAGCCCGGCGTTGCCCGGGGATGTAACAGTAAGAGATAGATCAAGTATTGACCATCATAAAGACTGAAAAATAAAATTGACAAAGATTATTGTTTAAGGTTGATGGACACGCATGTCTTAATTAATTTTTCTTTGTTGTTTTTTTTTACGAATTGGTCAAACCCAAACTCAAACAAAAACATTGTTTTCAATCGTTATGAGTCTATCGATTGAATAGAATTTTATTATAAACAATTGTCTTGTAAATGGAATTTTTAAAGCATTCTGAATGTAAAAAATGAAAAAAAAAAAATGTGCAAGACAATAAGAAACACTACCTGCCCCAAAAAAGTGAAGTTTTGTTGAAATCAGTTGAAAAATGTAGGAAATCCGATCCCATATATAAAGGAACACACACACACACACACACACACACACAACCTGGGTTTTATAATAAATATAACTTGACATGAGTTGTCCCCCTTTCATTCCGCGAAAGCGATGCCTCTTAATCGTGTTTTCAAATTGATTTCGTGCAAAAACAATTGTGTTTTTCCAATTTTTGGCACTGTCAGAACCACCACAAGGTAATTTTATGTAGTCCTGTGAAGTTTTGTTGAAATCAGTTGAAAAATGTAGGAAATCTGATCCAATATATAAACGTACAGACACACACACACACAACCTGGGTTTTATAATAAGTATGATTTCTGAATAATTGGTTTAAGGAAAAATTAATACTTCTTTGTCAAATTTTTCGGTAATGCTAAATAAAATTTATACTGTTTATAATACTTCAGCAGGAAGTTTTCATTCACACACAAAAAATTCTAAACTGAAATATAAAAAATAAACCTAAGTAACCAATATCATATACCTATAATATAAATGTAAACAAAACAAAAACAAATAATTCTGTATCAGTTTTATTTTTTTATCCTTTACTGGCAATGTTGAAAAGACATAAGGTAAATCAAGGCAAAATGTCCTGTGAACCAATAACTGGGCTAAGAAAATGAATCAATAACAAAGAATATCTTGTGTGTGTTTAGTAATATTACATATATGAAATGAAATAAAAAGTCAAAAGTACATTAGCTTATCTCACCTGTTCTTGTGGGACCCTTGGGGACATTTTGCAGAACCTGAAGGTTCCGGGGAACCCTGGTTGAGAAATGCTGGTCTATTGTATAAATCCACCAAGAAAACTGACCTGACTGATTTCATATACCAAATTGGAGATTATAAACAAATCCATACAGTAATTCAAATTAGAGTAAGGTTACGAAAACTGAGTTTCTTATACAACATCTCAAAATTTGTAAAAATCATACAGTGATAGACATGTACACAATGGAAGATAAGGAAAGGAGAAAGTTAGAAAATCTTACGGTTTAAAAAATCTACATTTGTACAATGCAGCTTTCTGTTGATTCCACATCTCTGAATTAAACCAGGTTGTAGGATATTGGGAAAATTGGTATCATTGGCTTGAGGGGCTCCAACAAGGATTCTATAAAGATGAAAGAAGAAAAATTTAGAAATGGTAAATAAGAAAATAAAAAAGCAATATGTATTAGGCTTGGTTTACTAATATGGTTACAAAGGAAAAAAAGAAAAAAGGAAGGAAAAAAAGAAAAGAAAAAAGGAAGGGAAAAAGAAAGGAAAAAAGGAAGGGAAAAAGGAAAGGAAAAAGAAAGGAAAAAAGGAAAAAAAGGAAAAAGAAAGGAAAAAAGGAAAAAAGGAAAAAAAAAAGGAAAAGAAAAAAAAGGAAAAAGAAAGGAAAAAAGGGAAAAAGGAAAAGGAAAGGAAAAAAGAGAAAAAAGGAAAAGGAAAGGAAAAAAGAGAAAAAAGGAAAAAGAAAGGAAAAAAGAAAAAAGGAGTAAGAAAGGAAAAAAAGAAAAAAGGAAAAAGGAAAAAAGAAAAAGGAGGAAAAAAAAAAGAAAAAAAAAAAAAAAGAAAAAAAAGGAAAAAAGGAAAAGGAAAAGAAAGGAAAAAAAAAAAGAAAAAAAAAAAAAAAGAAAAAGGAAAAAAAAGGAAAAAGAAAAAAAAGGAAAAAAAGGAAAAAAAAAAAAAAGGGAAAGGAGAAAGGAAAAAGAAAAAGGAAAAAAAAGGAAAAGAAAGGAAAAAGAAAAAGGAAAAGAAAGGAAAAAAAAGAAAAAAGGAAAAGAAAAAGGAAAAGGAAAAAAAAAGAAAAAAGAAAAAGGAAAGAAAAAAAAAGAAAAAGAAAAAAAAAAAAGGAAAAGGAAAAAGAAAGGAAAAAAAAGAAAAAAAGGAAAAGAAAGGAAAAAAAGAAAAGGAAAAGAAAGGAAAAAGAAAAAGGAAAAAGAAAAAAGGAAAAAGAAAAAGAAAAAGAAAAAGAAAAAAAGGAAAAAAAGAAAAGAAAGAAAAAGAAAGGAAAAAAAGGAAAAAAGGAAAAGGAAAAAGAAAGGAAAAAAAAAAAAAAGGAAAAAGGAAAAAGAAAAAGAAAGGAAAAAGGAAAAAGAAAGGAAAAAGGAAAAAGAAAGGAAAAAGAAAAAAGAAAGGAAAAAGGAAAAAGGAAAAAAAAAAGGAAAAAAGAGAAAAAAGGAAAAAAGAAAAAAGGAAAAAAGAAAGGAAAAAAGAGAAAAAAAGGAAAAAAGAAAAAAGGAAAAAAAAAGAAAGGAAAAAAGAAAGGAAAAAAAAGGAAAAAAAGATTGCAATATATAAGTAATTTTGCAGTTGCATTAGATATATATTCATCACAAGTAATCTAGGATTTTTATGTAATTAACTGTATTGTTGTATGTAAGACAGAAGCCAGGTTTTTAAATCAAAAGTAAAAAATATCCAAAGAAAGCCAACACAAAATAATTATAAATTAGATTTATATATAACTAGTTTACCTATAGAATTTTTATACATACATTTAACCTTATTGTCACATGAACAAAAGTATTTTACTTTTTAGATTTTTTTCATTAATTGTAAAAAATATCTAAAGAATGCCAATACAAAACAATGATATATAACAAGTTTTTGCTATACTGTCAAAAAAATGATGTCCACATTTAGGTAATTTTGCATGTTACATTTTCTGCATGCATAATCTTGAATTTTCATGTATACAATCAACTCTATTATTACATGAAAGAAAAATTCTGATCTTTAAGCATCATTAAAAGTAAAAAAATATTTAAAGAAAATCAATATAAAGTTTTAAAAAATGTAGTAGCAACCTGGTCTTTCCTATTTAATAATGAGAGAGTCTCTTTTTTGGTCACACAAAGAATGTTTGCTAGAACTACTCAGCACAGGAATTGAACTCCCTTACAAGAGTATTGAGGATTAAAGCGTTGGTACAGTAATTGTGAGTTCAAACCCCGAGACAGCTAGTACAGACTACGTGGAAACAAGACTAGCAAAAACCGAGCAGTAAAAAGAAAGAAAGAGAAAGAAAGAGAAAAAGAAAGAGAGAAAGAAAAAGAAAGAAAAAAGAAAAAAGCAAGAAAAAAGAAAGAGAAAGCAAGAAAAATAAAAATAAAAAGAGAGAAAGAAAAAATAGAAGAAAAAGAAAGAAAAAATAGAAGAAAAAGAAAGAAAAAAGGATTCCTACACAAAGAGAGTGGAAGGAGTACAATCTAACCTAACCCTGCCAAACCTATAGATTAAATAAAAGGTTTGAAATTCTCTGAAGGTTACCCAGATCAACACCTGAAGAAGACTGGAGAACACAATAGGATATTAACAACAAAGATGAAGATATTAGTCGGTTTTAGTTATGACCTTGCTTGAAATTAAATAAAAAAAAAAAAAAGGATCCTGAGAATAATAACGAGGAAGTTTCGAGAAAGTGGAAACCAAAAGGATATTTATACTTAAAATAAGAGAGTTGAAATTTCTGGGACACATCATGAGGAAAGAGGGCTTGGGGAATTTGACACTCACAGTATACACTCAAGTCATGAGACAAACAGTAACCTACTTAATGATCTTGTGTATGTGGATAACTGAACAAGGTATAAGAGGGATAGTAAAAAGATAAACATTGCTAAGGAGAGGAAATCGTGGAGAGGCATGATCACCCAAGTGCTGAAGGGACACATCATATAGAAAAAGAAGACTGTCTTTGCATCACTTCTTAAATTTCTTCCTAGATCCTGACAGTTGTCATCTGGGTGGTGGCAAACAGAACCTCATTATAGATGGCCAAACCCTAATCAATTGACCACAAAAAAAAAAAAAAAAAATTAGGGAAAACAAGTAGTACTGTTTAACAAGCAGAAATTATGTTTATCTGAGGCTTTATGGGGGTGTGAGTGAAGGTGCAATTACAGAGCCAACATAGCACAACTATTGATATCATAGGATGGTGGGAAGCATGGGTGAGCATGGAATGGCAGTCCCCAACCCAACAAGCAAGTCAAAAGCTGAATTACTGGCATCAAGCCCAGTCCAACCAAGATTGGCATTTGGGACACAAAAATGGTATTCAAAATGGTATTCATGGAGGGTTGGAGCCAAGATCACAATTAACAATACATCCTATTCATAATCCTGGCCAGCCCTCCCTTCCATATAAGGTAGGGAAACAGAAGCAAATATAAAAGATCTCCTTACCTAGCAAAATAGTCATGTATGACAGTATGATAGAAAACTAGGCCAATGATTGAAAACTGCCATATTGTAAAAAGGTACTTTTTATTATATTGTTTCTCCCCCCACCACTGGATGACGATGAAATAAATTTGAAAGTAGTTAAATAATATGTATAGTTATTGGCAAAGTTTACAGGCATTGTTTTCTTTTTCTTTTATCATTTCACCCCAAGCAAGACAATAAAGCCACTAAGAATTAGTTACTGAGTAAGAAAGAATATAAAAAAAAAAATTAAGGAGTGAGAGAACAATAAAAGAACAGATATTAAGAAGACAGAATATAACGATTGATATTCCATTTAAAATTTTGAAGATCAAACTTGACTGGAAAGCAAAAAGTCAGAAGGGAGTTCAACAATCAAGAAGTACAAGAGAACAAATGGTTAGCATAGAAGTTATGATTACATCTAGCCAATTCAATTATAAGATGAGACCTTGCCACCAATTTAGTACTGTGCTTAAATTCATTACCATAGCGTAAAGTTCATCAGAACAATTACCATGAAAATATTTATAGAAAGGCACTGGGAAGCTATGTGAAGGCAGTGAGAAAGAAACTGAAGCTGAGATGCCAGGTCAGGACCAATAATATTGCTGATTCTTTGGATTTTATTAAAAATCTCAATACTGCAGGAAATAATGAGTGGAGAAAAAAAGAGAGAGAGCGAAAGACAGGACAAGTGGAGAGAGAGAGTGTGTGTGTGTGCGTGTGTGTGTGTGTAAGTGGAGGGATAGAGTGTGTGTGTGTGTGTAAGAGGAGGGATAGAGTGTGTGTGTGTGTGTGTAAGTGCAGAGAGAGAGAGTGTGTGTGTGTGTAAGTGGAGGGATAGAGGATGTGTGTGTGTGTGTGTGTGTGTGTGTGTAAGTGGAGGGATAGAGTGTGTGTGTGTGTGTGTGTAAGTGGAGGGATAGAGTGTGTGTGTGTGTGTAAGTGGAGGGATAGAGAGAGTGCATGTGTGTAAGTGCAGAGAGAGAGAGTGTGCGTGTGTGTAAGTGCAGAGAGAGAAAGAGTGTGCGTGTGTGTAAGTGCAGAGAGAGAGTGTGCGTGTGTGTAAGTGCAGAGAGAGAGTGTGCGTGTGTGTGCAGAGAGAGAGAGATCAGTGAGATCAGAGTGAGCGAAGGAAAGAACGAGTCATGAGATTGAGCGAAGGAAAGAATGAGTCATGAGATTGAGCGAAGGAAAGAACGAGTGGAGCATTTGACTTAGTGAAGGAAAAGAATGAGTGGTGAGACAGAGAATGAATTAAAGAAAAGAATAAATGAGAGAACAAATAATGAAAAAGTGAGAAAGAAAAAGTGAAAGGCAATCAGAGAGATCAGAAGAGAGATCAGAAGGAAAAGAAGAAGAAAGTGAAAAATCCTACCATAAAAAATAATTCATTGCAAAATTAAATGAACTTCAATTACTTTTTTCAAAATCATAATAAAAATATTTATACTTAATTTATGCCTATTGGAAAGCATAACTAAAGTCTCTTGAATATTAAATAATGTGAAAATATGGCTTGTATGGTGACTATAGAGAAGGTATTTTTTATAGTATAGTTTGATTAGCCTTCAAACACAGCTCAATAATAGATAAGCATGACCACCTTGATTGACCAGACAATCAGGTACCAATTCAGGTCTACTTGTCACAGGACATTTTCCTGTTTTAGCCATTAAATGTAAGTCAGGTTGGTGTATAGTTGTTGTGACAGTTTTATATCATTGCAGCATTTGAATTCAAATTTGTCTACCTAGACTGATTTCTAACCAAGGCTAGAGAGCCCCGTCTGCCTTGCTATTTAACCCATAGATAAGGAGAGGAGAGATGGATTCTGATCTTTGCCCTGTGTCAAAGTGAATGCAACCACCTTGGCAAGAATTTGAACTAGGAACGCCAATTCCAATTTCTGCAATGAAAACACCATACACGATGTGCGCATCCACAGATAGGCATGACAACATAACAAAAACAAAAAAGGAGTGCATATAATTCATCATAATAACTAAAAAAAATCGACTGACTAATGCTTTTAATAGTAGATGAATATGATAAAAAAGTACAAAAAATGCAAACATCAGTTACTAATGAAGCACCCAGAAGATTAAAAAAAAAAAAAAAATACCATTAAATTATTTACATGTCATTTTTTTTTTTTTTTTTTTTTTATCACAGCGTTTCAGCCTTTGTACCCTCTGTACTTCAACAGGTATTTGTCAATCCAGGTAAACTCCAGGGAATTAAGAATTGAATCCTTTACTCTGTGGGGGCAGGGGGTAAACTGTTTCTATTCTGCTGACAATGTCTAGGGATATCTCATCAAATTCTTACGTGGTCAGCTATCTAGACATTTTGTCTTTTATCTTGCTAATGTAAATTTTGTTCCTGTGAAATAAAATTCTTTTACGGATGATGGCAGTTCCTTGGTAAAATATGTCAGATAAAAATTTTTTAAATTGTCTTAAATATTTAGCATTCCATTGGATTCTCATTCAACTTTACTCAGATTATGTGCGGTTAACGAACCGAAATACCGACTTTTTTCGGTTTCATCTTCACACCATGAAACTGCATCGAAATTTTTTACGAAATCAAACGATTTCGGTTTCGTTTATATCACTATTGATTGAGTAAACATATCCAAAGAAACACTATTGAAAAAGACTTTGAGATGTAAATAAAATTAAGTTTTATCAACATTTATATTACCATTATAAGAGAAAAAGATTAAACAAAAATATGTTAAAAACATTTAAATTAAATGTAAATTTTGCGGTAAAATTAAGTTAACAACAAAATAGTGAGTCTGTCTATATAAAATAGCGAGTAAAAATAAAGAAAAATAGTTGCCAATTTCAATGTTAAATTTTAAGAATTCGGAATTTTTGTGAGGGTTTTTCTAGTAAGCCATTATTACGCCTATCATGAAATGGGACCAGAAATACACGAGATATTGTGAATTGAACGGAATAAGTTTCAAACGAAATCGGATATCGACTGGAAATGCTATCATTACACAAGAAAATGAGTGCTACATTAAAAACCGAAAAACCGAAGCGATCCGAAAATCACAGTATGAAGCAAAACAAACCTGGAAACCGATA